TTATTATTATTATTATTATTATTATTGAAAGCCATTTCAATAATGAAGAGCAATATGTTGTTTTTGAGTAAACTTTCAGCTACATGACTAGTAATATTTATGAAGTGGTGGAGTAGTTTTTTTTTGTTCTGTTTTTTGGGGTTTTTTTTTTTTTTTTTTTTTTTTTTTTTTTTCTTTTAATGGAAAGTTATTGAATGTCATTTCTGCCATTACAATAAAAAAGATTTGCCATATACAATTTAGTGTTAATATCTCAAAATTTGGGGTTGTGTATCTTAAATGTCTGAGAAAATAATTTTAACTTGAAAAATAACAAACTTTGACTTATGGATGGAAATTGTTTGCCTTCTTTGTCAGAAACAAACTTTCATAGAAACCATACTAATCTATGACAGAAAATTTTTAAAGGGTCAATGAAATTGTAGCTAGGGCTTGACTAATGCTTTTATAACTAAGGGAAAAACTGTACTTTATTCAGCTGTAAATAACTTCTGCATTAATGTTGTAAATACAGGCTATTGCTTTATCCCTGTTCCGCAATAAAAGTCTTATACATATCTCAAAGTGTTTATGTCCTCTTTTTCTAAAAGTAATAATTATTAAAATTTGATATGTAGCTATGTATTCTTGTGGTTATATTATTTTCGAGTCTTAAGTAATAACTAAAAACCTTTAAAATTGAGGATATTTGTGTACGTTTTATGCATCCGGTTTTTAAACGATGTGCCTTTATTTTGAAATCAGGGACCGGAAGTAGTGTATTTGCATTCAGATTATCCGGTAACTTCTGTCATCAAGTATTCCGGCGAACTAGCCGCCCAAAGACAAACTAAGACTATAATTCGGAATTTAACGGAACATGGAAGCGAATAAACCAGTTCAGACCTCAGGTAAGATTTTGATTTTATCGCAACTCAAACAACTTTAGTTTGTGTAAGTTATCAAATAAAGACGGGGCGTTTCCGGGACTGTCAAAATTAGCATCAACTTAGCAGTTTCGAAGCTAAACGTCCGAACCGGATTTTGACACGTTTCACTATATCGGCAAAACACAACTGAAACGTATTTAAGGTTTATAAGAAATACTTTTAAACCACAAAGGCTGTCAGTCATAAATCTTAAACTAGATGTTATCGATAACTGGAAACTCAGTTTCCGCCTTAGTTTAATATTTGAAACATTTCCTTTTCACAGTAAATGTATTCAGCACACCAGCAAAGGTTTTAGTACATCAAAAGTGTATAAAGTAGAGCTTAAGGTTAATTTAGGTGACTCAACTAAGAATGCGTGGGAAAACACATTTTAGATAACTAAAGTATAAGTCAAAAAAGATGAAGTAACTTAAAAATGTGGACCGGGAAGGAAATAAAGTAACCATATATAGTAAATGTATAGGTTTATTTTATTTGGAACAAAATCTTCGTTAAGTTGGTCGATTTTGCTCAACGCAACCGGCCCCAGCAGGCATTGCTGCATAATTTGGGAGGTCTACGTGACTGTGACTCAGTCGCCTTCACGACATGTTATAAAGGCAACCGACTTCTTTAAAACCTCTTGCATTTTCCCTCTAACAGATACCCCCTCGTTAGTTTTAACAAGTAGTGTTTGCTATTTGAAAAATACTTAATAAACTTTTAAAAACTGAAAAAAGAAAAAACGAATGCTTTTAAACCATCAAAGGTACACCGAAACAATTAAATGTTAATCCGGCACACTGACTCGTTTACCGCTAACGTATTTCGGTCCGACTGAGCGCAATTGGGTAGACGTATTCACACGTTTACCACGGGTTTCAGGAGGTAGAGCAGTTCATCCATCAGTGGAAGGCCGATGTTTTGATACCTGGCTGCTTCAGTCTGCATGCCCAAGTCTGTATCCTGATCCTCATGTTGCTTTCTGATGCATCTGTGGGAGTATCTGCGTGTGTTGTGGTTGGGGCAGCCAAGAAGAGGGCCACGCAGACTGTGAGCGAAGCGGCAGAGAAAGCCACAAAGTGGCTGTGGATTAAGAGGGCTGATCCGTGGCTAGCTACTGGTACGCAAGTCGGGGCCTGATCACCCCCGGCTGGGTCGCCTGGGTGAGGGTATATGATGTTGCGAGACCCGAAACACCCGATGACCCCAGGATACATCATTGAAGATGCGTGCCAGTCCATCCAGGACATGTTT